GTATCACTATGGAAATAGATTGCCCAACCTTACTTCCAAGGAGTGGCTGTACCAAAGTTCAAAAGGCAGAAAATAACAAATGCTGGCAAGGATGTGGAGAGATCGGGACTCTCATACACTTCTGGTGGGACTATAAAATGGTACAACCACTGTGGAAAGCAGTATGGCGATTCCTTCAAAAGTTGGAAATACAAATACCATTTGACCCAGCCATTCCATTACTAGGTATATATCCTAAAGAAGTGAGAGCATATATGCAAGGACAGATATATGCACACCCATGTTCATCACAGCACTATTTACAATAGCAAAAAGATGGAAACAATGTAGGTGCCCATCAACTGAAGAATGGATAAGCAAACTATGGTACATACACACAATGGAATACTATACAACCCTAAAGAATAACGTAGAATCTGCAAAACACCGCATAATGTGGATGAACTTGGAGGACATTATGCTGAGTGAAATAAGTCAATTACAGAAGGACAAATATTGTATTAATCTGTTATGTTAAAAGTCAAGGAAAGGTTTATATATGGAAGGAAATTTTCTTTGTTGTTAACAGGGGTGGGAGGGGAGGAGAGGGGAAGGAACACTGTTAGATAGGCAGAGACAAGTATTAATTTGGGTGATGAGAAGGGCAATGTATCAAGTATGAGTGATCAACATGGTGGCATTAAGGAAAAGGAAGACACAGAGAGGTGCATGGGAAGTACAGACAACAAAGATGAACCCTTTTGCACATACAGTACTGTGTTCTCAGTGAAGGCAAACATGGATATATGGGTGGATAGACGGGTGGACAGGATGAACTATTAGGTATATCTAGGCAGAGGGGGTGGAGCTCTGGTGGCGTAGTGCCTTAGGCATTTGACTGCTAACCAGGAGGCTGGAGGTTCAAACCGACCAGCCACGTCTTGGAAGGAAGGTTGGGCAATCTACTTCCATAGTGATACCACCTCAGAAACCCAAGGAGGGGTCGCTGTAAGTCGGATCCAACTTGACAGCGATGTGTCGTTTGCAATCCAGGGGAGAGTGTGCCTAAGATAGGGTTGGCAGATAATGTTTCTACAAGTGTATCAGTATGTTCTGTAAGAATTCCCAGGTATATAGTAGAGCTGGCAAGGGACAAAGTTGTAGTCACTTCTTGGCCACAGCCAGCTACCCAGAGGGAGTGAGTAATTGGACCTGTGGGCTCGGGACCATAGTTGTAGGGGACATCAAGCTCAACTGGCATAACATACTACACAAAACACTGTTCCACATCCTACTTTGGTGAGTAGCCACTGGGATCTTAAAAGCTTTCAAGCAGCCATCTAGATGTAATGATGGGTCTCTCCCCGTCCAGAGCAGAGACGGATGAAAAAAAAACAAAGATTCATGGAAACAATTAGTCCAAGTGAATGGTATACCATGCAATCCTCAGCCTATACAACTGTGAGAGCAGAACTAGATGGTGCCCGGCTACCACTGCAAACCACTCAGAGGGGGATCTATGTAGGA